GAGGGTGGCCTTCAGGCATGAGGGGTCAGGCCCGGAGGGGCACCGAGGCCCTGAGCAACCTTGAACCATCGGGCCCTCTGGCCGGCCCAGCATCCGGAGACCCTGAGGTCCTTTGCGAGTGATAAAAGGGGGCTGCTCCCTTGGGGGGGACGGAGCCGAGGACTGGCCCCCCCCCCTCCACCAGGGCTCACGGGGTCCGCCCTTCCCCCTTTTCCTGCCCCAGGTGAAGTTTCCGGAGCCCGGCTGGCTCCCGGCCCACCAGCTCCGTCAGTTCCAGTCCTTCTTCCCCCACTGCGAAGAGGCCATGGCCACGGAAGACGATGCGGAGGAGGTGGAACTGAGGGACTTCTTCTCTCCCCAGCCAGACCTGGGCGGGGGCAGGCGGTTCCCTGGGGGGGGACCCTGCCACCGAGAGGATTTTGAGGACCCCCTCCGGCACAACGTCCAGTGTCACACCTCCTAGCCCCCCCCCAGAGGCCTTCCTTCCGGGGATTGGGGTGGGCCTGGGGGAGAAGTTAGAAAGAACCGCAGCGTGTGTGTGTGTGGGGGCTTCTCTGCGTCCCACCCCCCCAATTGGGTGGGATGAGCCTGGATCCCTTGGCATCAGGGCTGGTGGGGTTGGGGGTGCTCTGGGAACCTCCCCGACGCAAAGGGGCCGCGGGTGGGAGTCTCTGAGGCCCGGCCCCTTGTTCGGCCCCCTCCTCTGCCCCAAAGGGCCTGGCCATCCCCAGGATGGCTTCTGGGGGCCTGGATATTCCAGCGGTGGCCACCTGCCTTGTGGAGGGGGGGGGTTTCCAAAGGGCCAAAGCCCAAGTGGGAGGGAGGTGGAGGTAGGGGGGTGGAGACAGGCTGTGGAGTGGGGGAAGCCTTGGCAGGCCTTTCGACCCCTGCCTGCCAGACTGTCCCGGCCTCCTCGGGCCCCAAAGCGATGACCTTTGGGGCAGGAAAAGGCTGACTCTCCTCCTAGTCGCACGCACGCACACACGCACTCTGCAGGGGCTCCTCTGCGGGCCTCCTTTCACGCGGCCATCCCTCACCCTCCGTCCCTTCTCTGCCAGGTGAAAGGGCAGCTGTAGAGATCCTGTATTCACCTGGATTATGATAGAAAGGCGGCCGGGGGGGGGCAGGTTGCAGCTCCCACATCCCCCCCCACACAGACAAACCCAGCAACTGCCCTCTGCAGTTTCGACAGGCAAGCTGCCCGTGATGTGCCCCTGACTCATTCCTTTCCCCCCCCCCCCCACAAACCTCCCAC